AGCATTAAACATTGAATTTAGTTTTGTCTGTGTAAGTGAATAACGAATTACTATTTATGAATAGTATATTATCAATTTTATTGCTCATGTATTATCAGCTTCAATAAAAGTTCTTTGACGTTTTTGACGTAAAATAACCGTATCTTGTACTATTTATTTTTTCCATGGAAACATAAATTTTCTATCAAATATAGTTATGTAACGATTGTATTGTACGTCAAAATGCAAGCAGTGATCCGATTATACAAAGTTTCCAGATTGTTCACTCGTGAGAGAGTTGTGATAATTTCCATCCTCGTTTATAATCATGTTTCATATACGCGTGAATTAATAGCAAAATTAAATTAACTTCACGCTCCACAGTAAAAACTGAGTTTTGCGATAAATTCATCCTATATAATTCACAAATAAGGTTCATTAACTCAAATATATCATATACAAAATAAGGACTAAATATTTTCTGATCAAGAGCTATCATTATATACAAATCGGTTTTAAAGTGACATAATATTAATAACTGTGAACCCCTTTAGAATTAAAACAGTAATTATTTACGTTTCTTTGCAGAATAAGCTCAGGCAGCTTTTAATTTCTTTAATAATAAAATAATAAAATAAAGAAGAGACGACAGAAAGCTTTAAAGAACTCCGCTGTAAACTAGCAAACATCTGATGCTTACGACAAAAATGAAATATACACATCAAGATACTACTTTATAAGGACAGCTCCAAAAAGTTTTTATTAACAAAATACGAGAGAGAGAAAGGAAATCCTCAAAATTAGTCGACGTTAATTATAACACAGAATTTTCTTCCATTACGTCAATCTTGCATCGATCTTCACATTTGTTCCATTGTGACAGCAGCAAAAGAACGGCGAGATGACGATTATCTCGTTTCATGACGACTAATTATAACTTTCCGAAGCGTCTCCTTTCTTCCGTCAAGAAACTAAATTATCTCCACTGCCATTGGCACGCAAATTTTTGTTGTAACACAAAATCCTCGATATTCTTATGGTGATTGGTAGATAGCATTAAAGTTGCATAAACTTTTCGCGCGCGTCGTCACGCCACACAATGCCCCTAATACATCTAACTATATAAGTCAGGAAGAAAGTTCCGCGCGCAAAGAATAGACTCGGTGTGCGAAGAATAGCTTAAGGCTTAAGGCATACGCAAACGAAAAAGACTGAGTCAAAATTTATTAAATTGAACAGGGATAATCCGCGTTCCGCAGAAAGGAATTAACTCAATGACACATTTTTTTCTTGAAGTCGCCTCGGTTATTGGAGAGGGAGCCATAAAGGCGAGCGACGAACAAGCTCCAACGAAAATAGAAATCATATCAAAGTTGTGGGTTCAAGTTAACGATAATATCCGCGCATATTCATTATATAATACGTCCAAACTTTTACACGATAATGTTCAGTAATATGTCCAACCATAATAGTGCTTTCAGAAAATAAGTACCTTTAGTAAAGATGAAGAGTAGTATATTTTTTATGATATAATAAAGATAGCTCATATAAATTGTTTGTGAAGAAGAGAGAGAGAGAGAGAGAGAGAGAGAGAGAGAGAGAGAGAGAGAAAGAGAAAAAAGAAAACTACAAACGATAATAAGATGTACTTAATGTAACAATAAATTGATTTTCAATTTGCAAATACTGTGCAATTTTGCTAATAACGACTCAGTAAAGCTATCGTATATTCAAGTTGACGTAAATGTTGCACATAACGCGGTTAACATCACCGATTTCCCACCGCGGAACGGATTTTTACACACAATCTCCGCGTGCAAAGAGATCACGATCCTTCGCGCGCGGAACGGCGTAAATATTTGTTTCCTTCAACTCCTCCGGAGAAGAGATTTCCTCTTTTTCTTGCGGAAAATGCGGTAACACGAAATGGTTGTCGTTTTCGTCGGTTGACACGTTTGCCGACACATTGTACGCGGAAAGTAGAAGCAAAACCGCTCAACGAAGACAAATAGCCACGTGGTCGAAGAGAGTAGGGTGCGCATTAGCTCATCATGCGACACACTAGTCACATTTGTGTCCGAATAATTCGAATTTTTAACCATCTTTTCTTTTCTTTCATCGGAACGCGCCTGTCAAGCGACTGTCATCGCGAGCGAAGTTACGTCGACAGCTCCGTTAAATTTTCTCCTAATTACTTCGGATTGCACAGCGCAGAGGAACCTCTCTTCAGCGAGCCAATTGCTCGAGATAATTACACGGAGATAATTACAATATCAATCCGTTTCTATATCAATTGAAATGTATTTATAGTCGAAACGTCCTCGCCCGAAGTTACGAATACCTAGCACAGCACGGTGTTACTGCACAATGTTGCGATTCCATCGCTCCGGATGTTCGATGCGCTCTATACAGTGTGTCCCAGACTCACCGCGCGTAGATGGCTTTCAACGAGAGATTCTTTGATCTTTGGCGCGGACTCGATCTCGAACTTTTTGACCATTTTAAAGCCGAATATTGCGACTTCTCATAAACGACTGAAAATGCAAAGAGCTCTCCGTTTTTCACTTTACAGAGAGCGGAACTTTTCCGGGAATCGCGCGCAGGCATGCAAAGAGGTAATAAAACGCCGCTCTTTATTTGATTTCCAAAGCAGGACTCACTCGATTTTTTTGTTGCTACGTGTTTGGATTTTTTATTCGCGGGCGCTACCGCAGCGGCGAACATGGTCACCCGAATCTGCACCCGAAAACCGCGCTTCGTGAAAACGACGTTGATCGATGAAGTGTGAAGGGTTTGGCGACAGTATAAGTATAAAATAAAGGAATTTTATACATGTTCACAGAGAGAAATGTCTTGTCACCGTGTTTTTCAGAAAGAGAATTACGATTAACAGGACTGAATGATCAATTCTAATTCTCATTGTCCGCAGAGAAAATCCGAAAAAGTGTATTCGCAACGAGAAAACGTGACGAGAATGGAGTTAACATTTTTCTCTTTCTCTCAAATTATTCAAATAAGATTATGCAAAATCACATAGCCATCAAAATATATAGCTTTCTCAGCTTCGTTAAAAGCATTCTTTAAAATCGCGCACTCTGACCCGTTTATTGTATAATTTTAATCTTATTTCTCGCAAGAGAAATTCGCCAAATTAATTCTGACCAGATACTCCAAATTACTCACTAGACAAATTTGCTTTATACAAGACTAGGGATTTAAATAATTATCATATTACGGTTCGTCTGAAAAGAACGTGAGAACACGTCAACCGTCTCTACACGAGAATTAGTGAATTAATTAGTTTGTTATGCCAATCGTAATTCTAACGTTCAGGCCAAGGCTGAAAGGCTGTTGGAATAATATTCCCAACGTCGATAAACACTTGAAACAATATTCGAATGCCTAATCGCACCGTAAATCGCTCTCTCGAGGAAGAATCACTCCTGGCGAACATCCATAGGGCGACTTTTGACTCGCTCCTTCACGGTACTTACTCGCTCGCTAGAGAGTTCATTCTCCTGGAGAACGTTTCGGAGCGAGAGGATCACTTGGCCTAGCGCAAGACCACGATCGAAAATGTAAAATGGGACAATGTGCTCTAAGGCAATTCACATCCGGCCGTAAAACAGCGGATTTACCGAATCCGTTTTGCAGCGCGATCTCACTCTTTGGGCCTTATAAGTGCGCGATGCGCCGCGACGGCAAAACACGCGCGTAAATAGCACAGGCGAGTGACGCGCTCGCCACACGATGTACTCGGAGTCGAAAAGCCACGGAGTCGTCAGCCGTGAACAGTCGATGTCCTCGATAACGACTCCCGTGGAATCCTCGTTTCGCCGTTGTCCGCCGCTTATCACCACGCCGGAGAACGAACGCCGGAGGATAGCGAAGAAGGTGGAGACGCGAAGGTCGGCTGTCCCGGCGAGTCGGAATTTCGGCGTGGCGCGCCTCACGCATCCACGGCTACGGCTACGATCGCATGTCGTCACACCGCACCGATCGAGATGGCATCGACGTTGATGCGTCGCGACGCGATCAGATACGCGCATCGCGCGACGAGCGCGGCCCGTCGTCGTTCCCGGACGATGCACTCGCGTCGCGTCGTCACGAACAACCTTCGATCACAGGATAACGTCTCCCCGTCGCGCGCGTCTAAACGTCACTCGTGTTTGTCCGTGCTGCGTTGGCTGGTGCCTCCCGGGTGCGCCAAGCCGCGCGATGCGACGCGCACACCAGCCGGCACGAAACGCGACTGACTTTGCGTTCGACTGACGTAGAAACAAGAAGGAGAACAAGAGAGACAGAGAAAGAGAGAGAGAGAAAGAGAAAGAGAGAGGCAGAGATTAAGAGAGAGAAAGAGAGAGAGCGAGCACAGAAAGGCGGAGGCGGAGGTGGAGAGTGGTAGACAGAGGGGAAAGGAGATAAAGACAGACCGAGTCAGACAGAGGCGGGAATCGCGCGCGAGCCGATTTGCAACGCACGTACGCACGCACTCATGCACGCACGCATGCACGCACGCACGCACGCACGCGTGCACGCACCACGCTCGCACGCACGCGACAGTGCGCGCTGGCCGTATGACGATGAATGGAGCCCGAGTATACCCGGAGCGTGTACTTGTACAAAGAGCCGCGTGCTAACTTCGGCCGCCTCCGTCGGTGGCGGCAACGCGCGACGTCGACGACAACCGAGCACAAGGTGGTGGCGGCTGACACACGGGCGGGGAGAAGGGATATTACAGGATGGACGTGAAACTACCCGCGCCCTACAGACCCCGAGCTACGGCGCAAGAGCGACGGGGGCGTCCGGTCGACCCGACGCGCGCCGCCGGCACAGCGGAAACGTACGAACACCGACGTTCTCGCTCGAGTTCGGGTTCAAATTTGTTCCTCGGGCGTGAGGGATTCCGAACCGTGACACCGGGGACCACCACCCGGAGAGGGCGGGTTGTGCACTTCCGCCGCGAAAACCTCTCTCGCGTATATCCGACGATTCGTCAGACGTACCGTAAGCTAACAGTCTCTCTCTCTCTCTCGGGTTTTCAAACCGACTGTGGTAACGTAAAATTTCATAACGCGGTAATTCTCATCGAGATACTTTTTGACAGCCGCGCCAGACGTTAAACGACAACGTTAACCAACCTGATATTTCTTCCGTTGAAAAAGGAGAATCATCGTTTCTATAAAAAGGGAGATACTCAGAATCGTCGAGAGATAAAAGCTAAAGCGTATTACGATATTTTCGCTTCTGCAGCACGTAGAGAGAAATCGCCATGAAGAGACGTCGCGATTATGGTTCTATCTCGATGTATTATTCGGTAAACTTTTCTTCGGATTTTTCCGGACGCAGCAATTCACCTGGGAGGATTCGCGGAATACTAAACTTGCCTCTAAATCTCAGCAGGCGTCAATAAAACTTTTTTCATCAAAGTATATAGATTCGAGTTCTATAATACAATTTGATTTGACGAACTCGTTATTCTATTCGTATGAACAAATTGATCATATTTGGACATTTTCACAAGTTTTTCATTTGTCGTGATGTCTCTTCACTTGTGATATTTAACATATATTCTAATATCTTACACACAAAAGAAAATTTCATTTCAGTCTTTAGAATGATTGATTTCACAATAACGGTAAACTTTAACTAAAGCTTGACAACTTTTATATAGTAATGAGCAAAATAATTATTTTTTGTATCAAGATCTAATATTAAACTATAATATATGTTGCAGCTGTTTTCGTATTCAGGGCGTTTTCTATTAAACCGTCACATTCAATAAATTTGATAGCTTACGGTATAGTGTTTCCGGCCGATCCTCTGCGAGCTGCGTTTCGATATTCACTTCCAGTACTGAAAATCCACAGTTTACGTCACATACACTATAGATTTTCAGTACTGGCAGTGAATATCGAAACGCAGCTGCGGTAATCTCGATAAAGTCACCCAATACAACGTGAGATGCTCAATTGTTGCGCGATCGAGATGCGGATTCGGAACGTAAGGCCGCAGCGCACGAACATTGCCGTAGCGTGTTTTACGGCAACGCATGAAAAAAAGCGTAATGTAACGTACGTAAGACTAATTACGTTACATTCTTCTTTGTGCGTTGCCGTAAGATTGGCTTGCGTGTCGCGTAAGGCAATATTCTCACGTAAGGCGTAAGACGCTACGGCAATGTTCGTGCGCTGGCCCTTAGTCAGGCGTTTTTGGAGCTCAATTCTGACGTAATGGATGTATGCACGAAGTTTGCGGCGCGAGCACATCGTCAGCCGCGCTAACTTTCCGATAATTGCGCAACTCGTTCTTCCGGGCAAGGCAAGAACAGAGAAGAAAGAAAAACAGCAACAGAGTCTCTAGCGGGTGATCTAATACATAATACAGTTCGTTATCCACGTGCGCCGAGCTCGTTAGAGTTTCAAAAGCGACGTTGGTCCGGATTGCAAAATATGATAACGGAGGCGCTCGCCTCGATCGAGGCCCAACGACGTCGCTTTACGGTGCAGACTTTTACGATTACTGTCCACCGATAAGCCTCATGTAGTTCTCGAGGTCGGTGATAGCGCGACATACCTCCGACAACGTATCACAAAACAGTGGCTCTTTTTCCTCAATCATCGTATTAAGATCAACGATTGCGGCTTGTTGAAAAAAGAATTTTTCGATGGATCCGCTCTCGATCCGGCCGGCTTTTACGCTCGCCAGGAAATCATGGATAGGAATAACGTTTTCTGTTGAATAAAATCCTACCTTACATTATATACGTGTCTATTCAGAGGCTGCTTTTATTAAATGGACACGTAAATCATAACTTTGCTACAGAAGCTTAAGGAGTTTCAAGATATATGTTGGGACGGAACTTTCCTTTGATATCGCGTAATCATGTCGGACAAATAAATCCTTAATCTTTAAATTACGAGGCGTATTTTGAGTATCCTGCGGAAAGTGTGGCTCGTAATATTTCATCTCTATCGTAAAGTCCGAAGAAAACGTCAGAAACGTATCGGTATAAAATAGAAATATCCATTGTTTAAGAGACGAATCGTTCTTTTTATCAATCAAAATGCTAATAATGAAACCAGAAATGAAAAACCAGACCTTTGGATATCGGAACACCGATAATCCAAAATAAAAGAAAGATTTAATACATGTAATATTGAACTTCGTTTAACTTTAGACATTGGCTTCAATCCACTTTTTTTGAAAATTCGAATCACAATTATATAAAAAGAAATAAAAACCAAATAAAAATCGTATTAATAGATAATTAAAAATGATTAAAATAGTAATAATATAATAGTATTGATATGAGAGAGCGATTATAATATACATTATTTTGATCTCGTTATATCTCCTCGCTGATTTAATAAAAGTAAGAGATAAAATCTAGTCTTGCATTAAAAGAGATTTCTCAAATTGACCGGTCTCACTAAATCAAATCCATATAATCCTTTTGGATTCTATATATTTTGCATACGTCAATGTCAAACAGTGGCACGCGCCTTTGAGCCTGTGATAACCAAAGATGTTTCTCGATCAATTTTTTTTCGTAAACGTGCTGACAACTGATTCACTGTAAAGTAGTGGCGTGTCAGACAGCACAAGTGGTGACTTATCGGTACTTTTTATATTTACATGTTCGAGCTAAATCTAAATGTATCGTGCACCTGTATCGATGAATATTCCCGGATTACTGAGCGTTCATTGTGATCGTCAGTGGCGCCGTTACAGGCATAATAAATTAAAAGAAATTATTTAAATAAAAATACATTAGTTACAAAATAAAAGATTTACAAAGGTAGTCGAAATATAGCATGTAAAAAAATTAAGCATTTAAATAGAATTATAATAAATATTATAATTCTAATATATAACATTGTTCTAAATTATCATATAAATTGAAAATAATTTTATCTATTGGATTTATCAAATCTGCAGATTTATATCCAAGTATTAAATAGCTCTAATTATTAACTATTCTAATTATTATTTTTAAAGTAAAATAATTGCTGTACTCCGAAATGAAAATCCGAAATGTGCTGAGAAATTCAATTGTCCATTTCCTTTGAAGTGAAAACAGTATTTTCGTCGTATAAAATAATGTTATGGAAGAGCGTCGCGAGAGCTTCAAGAAGTTCAAAGAAATGCAAAAAATTTCCTTTCCTGCCTAATTCAGTGGAAAATCGTCCGCGAGGGGCTCGTTTGGGGGATGCCAAGTGCGCTCCCGGGGAAAACTCGTTTTTCTTTCGATTATTAAAATAACAGAAACCTCAATATCGATTTCGGGATACACAGGAATTCACTTGCGGAGAGTTTAATCATCCAGGATCCATCACGTCGATCCTGAAGCCTGTCAAATTGCGCGGTATTGTAACGTCAGTGCAACAAAGTACTTTGGTACTCTGTAACGTTGTTGTTCGTTACAACGAATAGGCGCACGTTACACGACGTGCTAATTAACGCCACGAGTTGAATTGCGTAAGAATACAAATTACGTCTCTCACGTGGCCGCAACTAATTCTACTATATATCATATTCGTTCACACAAGAAAAATCCCACCTATTATTTATCTCGTTCGCATAATATTATACAAAATAAATTGCAAATGCATTTGCATATATTAAACAGTGATATAAAAAATAAATTCTAGATACCCGTTGAGATAAAAGTACCTTGCATTTTTAAATTTTAATATCGCTACGTATGTACGAACGTACATATAAAACATGCAGACTAATTGATAAATTATCTATTTAATCTATTTAATTCTATCTCGAAAAGTTCAACTGAAAATGGAAAGAGGATCAATATTCTCATGTTATTATAAGAAATTATGCGTAGATACAATCTGTGATGATAAATTCGATATTACGCACCTTCGAGTGTATCGCCTCACGCATGGTGCGCAGCGATTTCGAAGTCTTGTCACGCAATTCCCGCTTAATACGTTTCTATAGCGCTGCATCATTAATCCAATTTTATTGATTCGATTCTGTGTCCGTATCAAGTAATCGCGACTTTATTATAACGATCGAAGCACACATGCATAGATATAATCAATTGCATAACTCAACTCGAACAACAATTGATCAGGTGGTAACTCATATATTCATCGAATAAAGACGCACGATCAATTTTTTCCAATTATCTAATTATTGTCTAATTATTAATACATCGCGTAATATTCTATTTTTTTAGATCAACACGACCGTGCAATACAAAGGTGTGTTTAAAATAATGCGATATTTAAAATTCGTACCTGTTGTTTAAGTTATGGAAATACGATTAAGTCTCCTCTCGTGATTCATGATGGTAAAACATTATTTATGCATTCAAATCCGCGCGTCCGCGGCCGCGGCCTGTTTTGTTACCCGCGGTTTCACTTCGTGGAGAAGCTACAACGTACTAGCGCTTGTCCGGTAATAATCCCGGAGTCAAGTTACGACACCGATGCCGGAGACGGAATAATTTGTCATATGATGTCAGGCGTGTGCACGCGTACGCACCAAGCGCGGTTATAACATCTGGCAAGTGTTAAGGTGCGTTTAAACTTGCGCGACCTGCAAAACGAAGGAGTGTGCAATGATCTAAGTGTGCGTTCCGGCACGAAATAATTCCAAACTGTGCATCGACGTTGTTATTTATTATCCTACTTTATAGGACACGATTTAGATGTACTGTG